GACTCGCCTCTGAGTCTGACGTGGGAGCTCTATCTCATGACCCTGAGATCATAACCTAAGCCAAAATCAAGTCAGAGGCTTAACCAACTGCAATTACATATTAGGAGTTGTGTTATGTACTAGCACTCCAGAAGCAGAATTTGTAAATGTCTTGTCAGGGGAGGTGAGTGAGAAGAATGGGCAAAATAGATACAAACTTCCAGTTACAAAACGAGTAAGTTATGGAGATAAAAAAGTATAGCACAAGGAACATAGTACTATTGTAGTGACATTATATGGTGACAGAAGGTAACTACATTTATCATGGTAAGCAATGAGTAATGTATAGAATTGCTGAATCATTATGTTGTACACCTGAAATTAATATAACGTTGTACGTCAACTATATTACAAAAGTAAAATTAAAAAATTCTAAATAAAAAAGTCTTGCCATAAAAGAAAGGGAAAAAAGGACAACTCAATTTCTCAGTCTCTCCTGCTGAAAGGATTCAGGCCCAGCAGAAGCAGGGTGACCTATAGTTTATGAAAAGTACAGTACTTGAAGAAGATCGGATGAAGAATTCATTCTGTCAAAGGGATAAGGATACACCCAGCTTTCAGAGGCCAAAACAGCAGAAATACTAGTTGAGATAGAGATGTCAGTCACATACCCAATATTGATGTTATGAGCTGTAAGGTCTGTGCCCATTGGCAACCTCAAAGGCACGTTTACTAAAATAGCTTGACACTGTGATTTGGGCACTTTTCCTGAATGCATAGCCTCTGTAGTTCTGCCTTTTCCAAAATGTCATATAGTTGAATCCATACAGTATGTGGCCTTTTCAGTTTGGCTTCTTTCACTTAGAAATATGCATTTAAGGTTTCTCCATATCTTTTCATGACTTCATAGCTCATTTCTTTTTACCACTAAATAATATTCGAGTGTCTGGATATACCAGTTTATTCATCCACCCACCAACTGAAGGACATCTTGATTGCTTCCCAAGCTTTAGCAATTATGAATAAAATTGCTATGAATATTCATGTTCAGGTTTTTCTGTGGATGCAAGCTTTCAACTCATTTGGGCAAATACCAAAAAGTATGACTGATGGATCCTATGTAAGAGCATGTGTAGTTCTGTAAAAAACTGTCAAACTGTAAGCAAAGCACCTATGCCATTTTGCATTCCCACCAGCAATGAGAGTTTTTGTTGCTCTGCATCCTTATCAGTACCTAGTAGCGTCAGTGTTTGTGACTTTACCCATTCTAATAGATATGCAGTGGTATCTCATTTTACTTAGCAATGCCCTAATAATATATGATGTTGAGTTTCTCTTCATATATTTATTTAACACCTGCATATCTTCTTTAATGCAGTGTCTACTCAGATTTTTGCCCACTGGATTTTTTTCTTTACTAGTGAGTTTTAGGAGTTCTTTGTGTATTTTGGATTACAGTCAGTCTTTATCAGATGTCTTCTGCAAATATTTTCTCCACGTCTGTGGCTTGTTACTCATTTTCTTAATATTTCCCTTTAAAACAATCCTTTTCAAAGATGTTTTTTGTTTCATGTATTTTTGTTCTCTATTTCATTTATGTTGCTTTTATCTTAAATACCTATTCTACTGTTTGGAGGATTTGTGTGTGTGTGTGTGTGTGTGTTTTCCTTTGTGTTTTTCTAAGTTCCTATTTCAAAGGCTTTGCTTTTTACCTTTTTCTCTTTCTCTTATAAAGATACTAAGCCTGCAAATTCCCCTGTACCTCCTTTTTTTTTCCATTTTTTTAAAAATTTATTTATTTATTCATGAGAGACACACACAGAGAGAGGCAGAGACATAGGCAGAGGTAGAAGCAGGCTCCCTGCGGAGAGCCCGATGAAGGACTGGATCCTAGGACCTCTGGGATCACGCCCTGAGCCAAAGGCAGATGCTCAACTGCTGAGCCATCCAGATGTCCCCATATTCCATATTTGAGAGTTTTTATCTCATGAATAAGTGTTGAATTTTGTCAGATGCTTTTTCTGCATTGGTTGACATGTTATGTGAGTTTTCTTCTCTTGCTTTAATCCCCTGTATCTCCTAAGCCATATTCTACATTTGTACTGTCACTGTTTAGTTACAATCATTTTTAGATAGTAAGAGTTATCTCAAAGTATAAAAATAGAATGCAAATAGGTTTTCACTAGAATTCATCATAGCCTAAATTTGACCAATTTGAAAATAACATACTCTGAAAGGTACCAAATACCAATACATATTTTAAATCCTCTCTGCTTACTGATAAACAGTCTAGAAGAAAACACATTAGTGTAAGAAGACTTATGTGCCAACAGAAGTAAGATAAAAAGAGCATCCACAAAACAAGAATCAAGTTATTAAAATAAATAAAACGGATACTGTTGAACTAAACAATTCAAGATGGCTAAATAGTAGAATGGGTGAAAAACGAAACCAAGTGAGTGAATTCCCCAAACCAAAAATATTGGTCTTCAGACTTAAAGGGCCCAACTGGATATACTTTCAAAAGCTACTCAAAATTTCAAAAACATTAAGGATTTCTCTTAGAGCCCTTAAAAACCTAGTACATATGAAATGATTTAAATGACTAAAGATATAATCTGTGGAGAGAAAAAGGTAAATTTGGAGAAAACAGTGAAATGCAAGAGACCAACCAAAAGAAAAACAAAAAGTTAAATATATACTAGTAAAAATGCTTGTGAAGGTAACCACTAGAAAAACTGAAATAGGGATCCCTGGGTGGCGCAGCGGTTTGGCGTCTGCCTTTGGCCCAGGGCGCGATCCTGGAGACCCAGGATCAAGTCCCACATCGGGGAGCCTGCTTCTCCCTCTGCCTATGTCTCTGCCTCTCTCTCTCTCTCTCTCTCTGTGACTATCATAAATAAATTAAAAAATAAAAAAAAAATTTAAAAAAAGAAAAACTGAAATAAAACATATAACTGAAATTATTAGGGGGGAAAAAACAAAAACTTGATCAAACCAACAAAATAACTAAATAGCCAACATTATAAATACAGGGCCCAACTTACAATGGCAGTAATTAAATCTAAACATATTAGGAAGCATAAAGTCTGGCAGTGTTAATATCAAACACAGAATATAATGTGCAACTCATTAAATGAGACAAAAAGATATTGCATATTGATTTCAAAAACACTAAAGATTTAAACGGCACCCAATAATATATTTCAGAATATATAAAAAATTGAAATTACAAAAAAGACACTGAAAAATTCACACACACACATACACACACAGAGAAGTTTCCAAGGAGCTGCCTACTTTTTAATTCATACTTACCACATTTAAGTACAGTATTTAACTGAAAAATGCTTTCAGCAGTGTCAACAGTGTTACATGAGAAAATTCAGAATGTCTTTGGAGAAATATTATTAACACAAACTGTTCAGTCTAGCTCACTACAAAATATCAGATATAAATAAAACTCCTTTTCCTAATATAAGTGTCACAAAATAAGCCAGAAAATAAATGTTACCAAAATTAAGAAATACCACTGACTTCAGAACACAGGTGGTGGTGGGGGCGATCACACTTAGCAGTATTTTATTCTTCATAAACCCTAGGAAAACTACATATGCTTCAGAACATAAGCTTGGGAGTCCAACAAACCTGAGTTTGAGTGCTAACTTCTTGTGTTACAAAACTGAGATAAGCCCTAAGCCTTAGTTTCCGTATCAGTTAGGTGGGGATGATAGTTCCTAACTCCAAGAAGCTATAAGGAGGATAAGATGAAATAATCGTGGCACAATGGGCCCAATAATTGATTATTACTTGTTACTATTAAATTGTAGTTGGGGTGCAAGGTGTGAGAAAATGAGCAATGTTCTTGGTATTATTTAGTATCTGTTTTGCAAAGTTCTTTCAAGTTTAAAATCAAATGGGAAGTATTTTCCATTTATTTTCTCATTAATATTTGGGTTTCAATTCCCAACAACTAGTGTTAACTCTTGATTTTAATAAAGATTGCTAATTTTAGACTAAAGAATGGCTGATAGAATAAATATAGGCAGTCACCCTACCACCTTAACAAGTATTCCTGGGTCACCAGGGTGGCTCAGCAGTTGAGCTCCTCCCTTCGGCCCAGGGTGTGATCAAGTACCACATCAGGCTCCCTGTAGGGAGCCTGCTTTTCCCTCTGCCTATGTCTCTGCCTCTGTGTGTGTCTCTCATGAATAAATAAATAAATTCTAAAACAAAAACAAAATAAAACCAAATATTCCTAATTTCCAATCTAAGGAAAAAAAAATTAAGAATGGCTTTAATATTGTCCTCCTTTAGTCCTGTAATTTCTTCCCTTTCAGAACTAGAAAGGCCTTCAGGGAGAAAAAATAAATAATCTCAATGGAATATAATCTTGCCTGAAACCAGATAACCTGTCCAAACAGCTGCTTTGATTATCAGGATACCCTGAGCAACTTCTTTATTTTTATTGAATAAATGTCATTAATATGCCCAACATAGATTTAAGGTTGTGGGTAAGAAATCTTTATTTAACTAATGGAAGATATTATTCCTATGTTTGAAGACTGTATCAAGCACTTTTTTTTTCAAGCACTTTTTAAAATGTATTTTATCTTATTTTAAGTAGGCTCCATGCCCAACCTGGGACTTGAACTCAGGACCCTGAGATTAAGAGCTGCATTCTCTACCAACTGAGCCAGCCAAGTGCCCCTTGAACACTTTTTCAAAATCCACTTTTAGTTCTCAGTATTCAAGAAGATTCAATTTTGAAGATACTGAAGGAGAGTCCCCACCTTAGCTCCAAAACACAAAAGGAACATTAAGCCTAAATTCCCTTAACACTAAGATTATTGCAGAATTTACAGATGAGGAATACAAGAAATTAAAGCACATACAAAATGCACATTGGTTTTTTTCCCATACTGGTATATAAATCAATTCCTTATTTGCTTCTTGTAAATTCAGTTAAACAGGCTTTCTGTGTTACTTCTAAGTACAAAGCTGACAATATAGTTCCTTACCTTTCCATTAGCTTCTCTTTATCCCAATTGAAGTGGCTAAGGAGTATTCTTGTGATAGTTGCTGGATTCTAAAGAAGGGGGGAGAAAAAGTTACTTTAAGGTAACAGTACTTCATGGACACTTTGTGAATTTTTAGGTTGAATTTAATTTCATCCCACCCAAATTTCCTTTCCTAAGATATTTCTTTATTCTACAAAGAAAATACAAAATTTAGCTGTAAGATGTAAGATGATTTAAAAATAGTTTGCCATACTAATTTGTTAGGCTTCTATAGGATTCCAAAGCAGAATTCAAAATAAGTCAAAAAGAGATTAAACGAAATAGTTCAAATGAGTCTAAGCCATATTTATAAGTCAGAAGGTCCATCAGAGATATTTAGTGAAAACACAAAATATCTGTACTGGGTAATAATTTAGAAAGCATAATCTGAGGTTGCTGTTTCATTTCTAGAGGGACAAGCTAACAGCATCAAAAAAAAAAATCCAAATGTACTGCCTTACTGTTTAATGCTGTCGTTTATTTTCACTAATATCTATTTCCATTTCCCAATTAATCAGGTTACTATCTGGGTACAGAATTTTAACTTAAAATGTGAGTTACAATGTCAGAGGTAGAACTCAAACCTGAATCTTAATTTATAGGTCATGTATAATTTTATTACATCAAATAACATTTCAAAAAGGATCTCTGCATAAAACTACTTTTGTGTCACCATAGTTAAAGTATTAGTTACCAAGTGACTTAACTAAAAAAGTAATCTTGTATATAAATAATGTCATGGAAGAAATCTCTATCAAGTATTCTCAAAAATACCATTTGTCACAGAAAAATTCACATACATTCAACGCCCTCCACCCCCAAATCCAAAGATGTAGATATGGTAACTCTCATTTGACCACTCTAGGTACATTTTGCTAATCTATTTAGGTACTCTTTGCTTCTTGGGCCCAGACTCCATTAAGAATCCTCCTTTAACATAGCATTCAACAAACACCACCACTTAACAAGAGTTAGTATGTAGGAGGAAAAAACCACCCAACCCTATTAACTGATCTTATTTTATATTTATCTATACAGACTATACAGACACTGTTTTGTCTAGCTTTTTCTCAGAAATGTGATTCAACAATTTATTCACACCCCAACCCACCCAACCCTATCCAACTCTGTTTGGAAACAGGTTTTCACAATAAGACTTGCCTGCAATTGAAAAGAGTTATTCATTTAGGTTTAGTCATATGTAAAATAAAGGCAATAAGCCTATCAATTGGTAGAATGAAGTTCAGTAGTACCTATGAGAATTGTGTGGCACTCAAATACACTGTTCTCTGCTGCTAGACAGAGTGCTTGGGGAAAAATGTTTCAGGAGTTGAGTCTCAAGTTTACAAAGAGAAAAGAGGGAGAAGAGGACAAATGCCCTCTAATGCCCTTTGATGTTGCTGTACTCTAGTGTCTTTTCCAGTATCAAAAATTGGTGCTATCCAGAAGTTCCCAAACCCATTACTCGTTTACCAAAAATTATTATGGAAAGTTCAGTTAAAGCACAGATTACTAGTTCCACTCTCATAGTTCTACTTAACAGGTCTGGGGTAGGGTGTCCTCAAATATGTTCATGACCCAAGGGATTCAGAAAATAAATTAGACCAGCAGTCTCCCAGGTGAAGAAAACACAACACTTTTTCTATTTTTTAGCTCATCCTTCAAAAATTCCTGTGTTGGTAGGTGTATGTACCTGATGTACATATTATATCAAAAGTACATGCTCAAAAGTTTGAAAAAAAATTCGTAAACCACAGTGACATAATAATGCTCAAATATCGGGGATCCCTGTGTGGTGCAGCGGTTTGGCGCCTGCCTTTGGCCCAGGGCGCAATCCTGGAGACCCGGGATCGAATCCCACATCGGGCTCCTGGTGCATGGAGCCTGCTTCTTCCTCTGCCCATGTCTCTGCCTCTCTGCCTCTCTCTCTCTCTCTCTCTCTCTCTCTCTCTCTCTCTCTCTCTCTCTCTCCCTCTCTCTCTCTCTGTGACTATCATAAATAAATAAAAATTTAAAAAAAAATAATGCTCAAATATCTATATTTTGCTAGAGTCTATGTTATTGGGCAGGAGATATTTCACATACTAACTAAATAACTATATTTGGGTCACTATTTCAGTGTAGCTGGCTCAGGTCATTTATGTGTGCTGCATATAAGGAAAGGTAATGGGGGAATAACACATAATGTGAATCTACTTGTATGCCAGGCCCTGTACAAGGTACTTTAGATTTCCCATTTAATTCTCAAAGCTTTCTGTAAGGTAAACTACTTACCTGCCATTTTAAGTATGAGAAAACCATAACTAGACTCTTTGGAAGTTCTAAAAGTTACCCAATATTATCCAGTTAATTAAGGGGAATACTTGTGAATTTTAGCGTAAGACAATCTGGATCTAATATTTTTTCAATTATTCCACGTAGTAGAACCTAAGGGAATATTAAAGCTCTCATTTAACTACTAGTCATGTCTAAATATCCTTTACATCCTCCACCAAAGGGTATAATCAGGACAGGATGAGGAGGGGATGGCAGAAAACTAAGAGACACAAGGGAGCTTTCTGAGAATGTTCTATTTCTATTTCTTGAAAGTGATGGTTATATGAGAGAAAACAGTTTCCAAAACAAACTATACACTTAAAAATGGGTATATTTAGTAATATAGTTATACATCAATAATGTTAATTTATTTAAAAACAAAACGATCTGACTTCTGGTGCTGGCCAAGATGGAGTAGAGTAATAAGCTCACTGCAGTGGCTCTCTCCCACTGATTACTTAACAAAATATTCTTAAAATTAAATAACAGCAGGCAGATTGGGGAGGGAAGTGAAGAACAACAAATAAGGTGGTGCTGAATATCTTTTTATCTTTTATTTCCTGGCTTTGACTCACAAGTGGGTCAAATGGGGAAACTGTTGTAGCAGGCATGAGCAGCTAATACTGAGAGGAGAGCATCTTTTTTTGCTAGAGAATTATGGCTAAAGGCTCCTAACAATGTAGGGAAAATACTTTTTTTTTCTCTCCTGTTTCTCTAGGTACTGCCCTGAGGCCAGCCACAGCCATGAAACTACACTGCTGCAGGAGGACAAGAGAAAATCTATTGCTCTGAATAGAAGAATCAGGAAGAGGGGCCCTGCTGTGAAAAAAAAGTTGGGGGGAATCCCTATTCTTTTCTTTTTTCTCTTGCCACTTCACCTCAAGGCACACAGGCAGGTAAGAAACTAAAACCTAGAGAGCACCACGCTTCTGGGTAAAAGAATGAAGTACCCTCTCTGAGACTCAGAGAGGGTAAGGTAATTCACTAAAAAGATAAAGATGGAGAAGTAGACCCCTAATCCTGCGTATGAACCAAGTCCTGGGTTTGCACCTTCAAGCTATGCCCATTTGGAATGCAGCTAAAGTATAGGAGAGGCTTTTAGAATAGAATTATAATATAAATGACTGCCCAAATCCTAGATCAACCTAAGTGGGGATGGAAGGGCAACTCAACACAGCAAAGGCTTTGAAAACTGAACAGATAATGGAACTACTCTCTATATAAAGTGAGAAAAAATATGCAGTTATAACCTAACTGAATTGACTTGTTTACTCAAACAAAAAATCCTCACCTCTCTAAAGGATTCAAACAAAAAATCCTCACCTCTCTAAAGGATTTAAAGGATGCAGAAACTCAGAACACAATATTCAAAATGTCCAGGATAGAATACAAAAATCAACACACAAGAACAACAAAAATCTGACCAATTTTCAAAGGAGAAGACAATTAATAGATGCTGACCCCAAGGTGACTCAGATATTAAAATATCAAAGACTTTTAAGGCAACTATTAAAAACATGATCCATTAGGTGAAAATGGACACCTTAAGGTGGATGAAACAAATTCTTAGGAAAGAAACAAATTACAAAAAAGAGTCAAATGGAAATTTTATTTTTATTTTTTTAACATTTTATTTATTTATTCATTAGAGATACAGAGAGAGAGGCAGAGACACAGAGGGAGAAGCAGGCTCCCTGTGGGGAGCCAAATGTAGAACTCGATCCCAGGACACCGGGATCATGACCTGAGACAAAGGCAGAAGCTCAACTGCTGAGTCACCCAGGTGCCCCTATTTTATATTTTTTTAAGATTTTATTTGGCATTTATTTATTTATTATTTTTTTATTTTTTTAGATTTTATTTTACTGGGCAGCAGATTTTATTTATTTATTCATGAGAGAGAGAGAGAGAGAGAGAGGCAGAGACACAGACAGAGAGAAACAGACTACCCCCCCCACCCCCACGCCCAGGGAGCCTGATGCTGGACTTGATCCCCCAACAGGGATCATGCCCTGAGCCAAAGGGAGATGATCAACTATTGAGCAACCCAGGTGTCCCTAAATGCAAATTTTAGAACTGAAAACAAAGTTTACTGGTAGGCTCAATAGCAGAAAGGAGATTACAGAGAGGTCATTGAACCTGAAGACATATCAATTAAAAATTATCCAAATTTAATAATAAAAAAACTTTTTTAAAAAAAGAAACAATCTCTCAGGGCCCTGTGGGGTAATACCAAAAGCTGTCAGCCTAGAATCCTATACTCAGTGAAAGTATAGTTTAGGAATGATGACAAAGATATTCTCAGACAAGAGAAAACATTGCCAGCAGGCCTGCTCTAAATGAAACGCTAAAAAGAAGTTCTTTAGGTGCAAAGGAAATAATTCCAGAAGGGAACTTGGAATTTGGGGGGGAAAGAGCAAGAGAAAGGGTAAATGGTAAGTATTACGGACTATTTTTCTCTCCTCTTATGTCCTTGAAAATACATTAAAATGCTGAAATTAAAAATTATAACATGCAATGGTGGGAGAAATGGTTAAAATGTATAGGAAGTGACATATGACAACTACAATATAAAGGGACTGGGAGAGAAGCAAACCATACAGGTGTGAGGCTTCTGTGGGTTTCCTTGGAATGGTAGAATATGAACTCTAAGTATAATGTGAAGAGTTAAAATATCTATATTATAATCCCTAGGACAACCAAGGAATAACTA